ATTCGAAAGCTGCCTTGTGGTGTTGAGTTTACTGGGTCTTCTACTTTTCTCACCCAGTTCCTCCTTTGACTAGCTGCAGGCCTGTGGGAGATGGGCTTGCCCAGGTCAGGCCTGCACGCTCTGGGCACAGAGGCCAATAGGGCAACACGGCAGGTGGAAGTGAGGGCTGGCCTATTGATTCATCGATTTATATCCCACAAATTCAAAGATTTGAGGCAGCTAATTTATTTTAATAATGGTTGCTATATATCATGCACCAAATTCCCAATGTTGGGCTAACCACACCTTATTTTGCTGTGTTTTCATAACATCAGATGTAGGTATAAGTAATAGCTTTGTGCAACCAAGGAAACTGTTTTCCTGGCTTCCCAAAGTCATGTGACTAGTAAAGGGCAAAGCCAGGCTTCAAACTCAGACTGTGCCCAAAACCATTGATCTTAACCACTATCCAGAAATTTCCAGGCCCAGATGGAAGGACATTACAGAGAGAGAAAGCCATGCCTACAAGTGCTCTAGAGATGCGATCCAGCAAGGCCAGAGGGTGGTGAGAATGCTGGCACTGTGTAGCCTGCCTTCAGTCGCACAGAGCCCAAGTGGCAGAGCCAAGTTTTGAAGCAGGGTGTTTGTGACTGGTGTCATGAGGCCATGCTGCCATGCTCTTGTAAGCCTAGATCGGTCCGTGTAGTAAAGGCATGCAGGGCGTTCACCTGGCACTGTGGGGCAAAGGTATTGCCGTAGGTCACAGATGGGTCACCGGCAAATGTTCTCCCCTAGAGCACGTGCCTGCTCCACAGGTGAGTCTCTTGGGCAACAAGAAAACCTCTGATGACTTAGGCGGGCAGTGTGGTGGAACACAAAGAACCCCAAGATGGGTTTGAATTCTGCCATCTGCTGGCTGTGTGACAAGGATAATACCTGCTCCCTCTTCCCTCCCCATCCTCCACTTATTTTTTGTGAAATGGAAATAGTAAATGTATCTTTAAGGAGCTTTGTAGGGATTAAATAAGATAACATGTGTAAAGCACCTGGCACATAATATGTGTTCAATTCATGGTAGCATTTTATTATTTATTGATTATTAACAGATTGAATGCTTTTCTTTGTTGAAAATCTGTAAGTGTGTATAGCTCCTCTATGAGGAACATGTTACATAGAAAAAAATTGAATCTGAGGTTATAAGTCTGCCATTCCAAAATAGGAAAATAGAAGAATTATGCAGTTTAAATGGGGATGGACTCTTTTGGGTTGACTTTTGTGGGACTTAAAAGGTTATTGTCATGTTTGAAGTTAATGGGAAATGGGAAACATTAATGATTATGGTAGCTCATGCTTTTTCAAAAAAGAAAACCATAGAAACAAAAATAGAAAATAGAATTAATCAATAAATCTATTATTCTACAACTTTAAAAATTTCATAATGAAGTGAAAAATCTATCTCCTGTAGCTGGCCTTTCTGTCCTCAGAGGCAACTACTATTAACAATTTGTTATACTTTTTTGTTTTTTACCTTATTAATATATCATGGATATCTTTCCACTTCATATTTTATAGCTCAGCTTAAAAAAATATATAATTTATGCACCATAAAATCTATCTATTTTAAATGTATAATTCAATAATTTTTATTAAATTTGCACAGTTGTACAGTTATTACCATAATCCACTTTTAGAATACTTGTTACTCTAAAAAGTTCCTTATGCCTATTTACGGTCAGTCCCCAGCCCATAGATAACTCCTTATCTGTTGTCTATATTTATAGTTACTCCTTTTTAGAAATTTTATATAAATGAATTTGTAGAAAATACATTCTTTTGTGTCTGACTTCTTTCACTTAGCATAATGTATTTAAGGTTCATTCACATTGTTGTACATATGAATAGTTTGTGCTTTTTTCTTGCTGAGTACTTTTCCATTGTATGGATATGTCATAACTTGTTTAACCATTTGGTTAGATCATTATTTGATTTGTTTCCAGTTTTGGGGTATTATGAGTAATACTGTTATGAATATACACATACAAGTCTTTGTGTTTTACATGTTTTTATTTTTCTTGGGTAGCTATCTAGGTGTGAAATTGTTGATTTGTGGGGTAAGTTATGTTTAAACAACTGCCAAATTTTTTTTTTTGAAGTGGCTGTATTTTACATTTTCACCAGCAGTGTATGAGGGTTCCACTTTCTCCACAATTTTCTAACACTTGGTATTGTGAATTTTTTTTATTATAGCTATTCTTTCTAGTAGGTATGTAATAGTGTCTCATTGTGATTTCAAGTTGCATTTCTTTAATCACTAATGAAGTTAACATATTTTCTTGTGCTTATTGGCCCTTTGGTAAAGTATATATTCAAATCTTCTACCAATTTCATAATTGAATTGTTTGTCCTCTTATTATTGAGTTATAAGAGTTCTGCATACAAGTCTACTGTGAGATGTATGATTTACAAATATATTTTCCCAGCCTGTAGCTTATATTTTTGTTTTCATATGGTTTCTTTTAAGAGCAAAATTTTAAAATTTTGATGAAGTCAAATTCATTAATTTTTTAATGAGTTTTGCTTTTAAAGAAATCTTTGTCTAACCCATGGCCACAAAGGATTTTCTCCTACAAGTTTCATAGTTTTAATTCTTACACTTAGGGGTATTATATGATGCATTTTGAGTTAGTATTTGTATATGATATGATGTATTTTTTTTTTTTTTTTTTTGCATATGGTCATTTAGTTCTACCATTACTGCTAAATAGACTCTTTTCCCCCATTGAATTGTTTTGGCTCCTTTATCCAATATAAATTGGCCATAAAGTCTTGGGTTTATTTCTTAGCTTGCTGTTCTGTTCCACTGATCTATAAATTTATACTTATGCCAGTACCACAGTAACGTAGTAATGGAAGCTTTCTAGTAAGTTTTGAAATTAGGTAGCATAAGTTCTCCAACTTTGTTCTTTCTTTTCAAAAGTGTTTAGGCTCATTTATGTCCTTTTCATTTCTATGTAAGTGTTAGGAGCAGCTTGTCAATTTCTAAAATACTCTGTTAGCATTTGAATAGGGGTTGTGTAGAATCTGTAGATTAATTTGAGATTACCATTTTAACAATGTTGAATTTTCCATTTCATGAATATTCCCCATTTTTCTCCAGTGTGTAGGTTGTTGGGTTTTTTTGTAGCAATGTTTTATAGTTTATAGCGTATAGGTTTTGAATTTCTTTTAATGAATTTATTCCTGAGTATATTATTTTTTGATGCTATTGTGAATGGAATTGTTTTTTTCATTTAAATTTTAATAACTTATTTGCAATTATAAATACCATTGATTTTTATATGTTAGTCTTATATCCTGTAATCTTATTAAGCTTGCCTATTAGTTCTAGTAGCTTTATATTTTTAATTTTTTGATAGATTTCTTAGGATTTTCTACACATGAGATTTTGTCATCTGAAAAAAGATACTTTAACTTATTTCTTTTCAATCTGTATGCTTCAAATTTCTTTTTCTTGCCTTACTGCATTGGCTAGAACCTCTACTGCAAGATGGAATAGAAGTGATGAAAGAGAGTATCCTTGCTTTGTTTATACTAGGGGGAAGTCATTCTGCCATGCCATGAAGTATAATATTAGCTGCAGGTTCCTATAGATGCTCTTTATCAGGTTTTGGAAGTTTCCTTCTTTCCTGACTTATTGAATTTTTTTCCCCTCTTCCTTCCTTCTTCTGCATCTGTTGAGATGATCATTTTGTGTTTATTTTTGCTTTATGTTAATATGTGCAATACATGAATTGATTTGTGGATATTAAACTACCCTTGCATTCCTGGGGTAACCTTACATGGTCATGGTGTATAATGCTGTTTAATATATTGCAAGATTGGTTTCTTAATATTTTGTTAAGGATTTTTACAGTTATGTTCATAACACTTACTGGTCTATAATGTCCTTTGTATGTGTGTGTGTGTGTGTGTGTGTGTGTGTGTGTGTGTGTTTATGTCTTTTTCTTTTTGGCTTGGATATTAAGGTAATTACTGGCCATATAAAATGTGTTGGAAAATGTTCTCTCTTTTACTACATCCTGAACAAGTTTGTGTATGAATGATATTGTGTATGTGTGTGTGTAATTTCTCAGTGAAGCCATCTGGTAGTTGAGTTTTTTATATTTTGGTGATAATGTTTTAAGTACAATTTTGATTTTTCAAGACTATAAATGCTTCTCAATTTTTCCTGTGACTTTGGTCAATTTCTATAGCTCCCTTCCCCTGCAAGTGGTTATTTTTGATGATGTTTTTTCTAGTTTTATTCTTTTATTTTGCTAAGAAGATTTGCTGACCTATTCATACCACCACACCCAGAAGTTGCTGCTCTAGCTCTTTCTTTTTAATAGTTGTAGAATATTTTATTTTATAGAAGTACCATAATCTATTTAATAAAAATAGCTTTTCTAATTATGAAATATATTTTTAAGCAGTGTTGCAGTTAAACTTTGCCCACAGGTGACTTTCTTTGCTTATGCTAATAATTTGCTAAGATAGAGTCTTAGAAGTGGGAATCCTGGGCCAAAAGAAATGCATGTCTTACTTTTTAACAAATACTATAAAATTATTTTTCAAAATTTGTACTAAATTAGAAAGTCTGCTTTTCTGTATCTGGCCACTATGATACTCTTATCCATCTCTTACATTTGTGCCAATATAAAAAGCAAAGACTGGTATATTTTTATTTGGTGTATGTTATGTTTTATTGAATTGTAGTGGAGTTGGGAATCTTTCTGTATGTTCTTTGACTATTTCTTTTTATTTTATGAAGTGCTATGTCATGTCTTTTCCTTAATTTCCAATTACTGTAAATTGCTTATCTTTTTCTTAATTTATAGGATTGTCTGATGTTGAACTTTTATCTGTTTTATATTGTAAATATTTTTTTTATTCTTTTATTTATTTCCTTCTAGTCATAACTTGTTTTCATTCTTTTAAAAGCCTTGTTTTCTAATTTCTGTTTTTGTTTGTTTTTAAAACAGAAAGTTGTACAGGGAATTGATTTAAACCAAGTCCGAGGGCTTGGGTTTGATGCCACGTGTTCTCTGGTGGTTTTGGATAAGCATTTTCGTCCTTTACCAGTAAACCATGAAGGTAGGACCATTCCCCTCCCTTTCCCTGGTGCGGGGAGACTGGCTGGGACAGACTTGGCTGATCAATCCAAGGGGCCTAGCTGGGACATGAGGTCACAGGCTTCTGACCACTGAACGTGAAATTTTGAAGAGGAGGATAGAGGCCAAAATTCATGTCCCAGAGGTTAAAGCTTGGAGAGCAGCTGATAGGAGTGGGGTGCATAGGGCCTGGGTTAGGGAGAGACTTGGCTCCCTGAAGCACAAGAGCCACAGAGAGAGCTTGGTGAAGGAAGGACATGGGATCATTAGCTCAGTGCCGGTAGCCTTGAAACAGACAGTGGTCTGGGTGTGTTTTAGGAAGGGAGTGTTGGTATCTGCAATTGCTCTGCACATGAAGCTCCTATACTGCATTCATTTGGGTGGGTGAGCCACGTCCATTTAAAGGAAACAGAACACAGCAGACAGGACCGTGTATCACACAGAAACAGGGAAGAGATGGCCCCGGTGTTTTCAATAGCCAGACCAAAGGCCAGTCCCACTTAATGAGGTGGTTCTGATGGACACTTGTGACTGCAGTTCTTGTGACTACACAAACGTAAAGTGCACTTGGGTTCACCGTCAGAGGTGTTTCACAGAGAGTAAGGATTTGTCTCTTTTTGGGACATTACAGTTAGTAGCTCTAGCCCTGAGGATGAAACCCAGGAGTTGACACTGGTCAGGGAGGTAATGTACAAACTTCAACTGATGCTGAACTTTTTTTTTTAATCCTCCCCCTGTGGCTATGCTTTGTTTTGTTTTGTTTTGTTTTGTTTTGTTTCTTACCTGAGAATACTTTTCCATTTATCTTCAGATAGAATGGGAGGGAGAGAGGGAGGGAGGGAGGAAGGGAGAGAGAGAGAGAGAGAGAGAGAAAGAGAAAGAGAGAGAGACATAGATGTGAAAGAGAAAGAAACATTGTGCCCCAATGGGTAATTGAACCTATAATCTAGGTATGTGCCCTGAGCAGGTATCGAATCCACAGTCTTTTGGTGTCAGGGACAGGATGGTGCTCCAAGCAACTGAGCCACCCAGCCAGGGCCTGATACTTAACATTTTAGTGAGTAGAAATTTGGGAGTGGTGGAGATTATGGTGCACCAGAAATTGCAAAGGAATGCAACTCCAGGTGTTGGCAGTCCGTTGTTGCCGAGTGGCCATTACAGACATGTTTTGTGCTAGATTATATTTGAGAACCCTTAGTAGTGGACACTACTGTAGTGGTGTCTTTTTTATCTGGTGGCTGTGGATACGGGGGCACACTGGGACACCAGTGTGTGGGGCTGGAGTCAGGGAGATCCCGGATCTTAGCTCTGCTACTGCTGAGCCACGTGACACCTTGAGGATGTCACTTAACCTCTGCATGTCTTAGTTTTTTCTTCTGAAAGAGTTGGAATAATGCAACAGTAGCTTTTCTGTGAGATTTAAGTGAGAACGTGATGCCTGAAAAGTTTGTTCCACTTAATTATGAATTCCTCAAGTTAAGAGAATATGTCCTACTCACTTTTATGGACCTGATGCATAGAACAGTGATTTTTATAAATTACATGTGCTGAAAAAAGTATGCAAATGGAGCACAGGGGTAATGATGACCTTTGTACACACAGACACACCCACACCCACACACACATACACACACACTTTTCTCTTTCTTGCTATAGTTATTAGAGAGTGATTAGTTATTACTAGTTATTATTCGTTATTACGTTATTACTAGTTTGTGCCGCCAAGCCCTGTTATTAAGTGCCAGGGCTTCAAAGATGATCACGAATGGCCCTTGTACTTTTACTGGTTCAGTTGGCATTGTTCTGAATGCAGGGACCAAAGGATGGGGCCGAGTTGGCAGACCTCAGCTCAGCAGCAGCAGGCACTCTCCAATTATGAGGTGTGTCAGCCACGGCCAGGCTGTCAGCACTTCCCTTATTGGCTGTCTTTAAGAAGGGGTCAGACCCTGGCTGGTTTAGCTCAGCGGTTGGTGCATCGGCCTGCGGACCAGAGAGTCCCGGGTTCAGTTCCCCCTAGGGTCACGTACCAAAAAAAAAGGGGGGGATCAGGTGCTAGCCTGTTAGGGGTGCTGTAGGAGGAATTCTCATTTGGAGTGGGATTTTAGATATTGAAACCCCTAAGTTCCAAGGATTCTATACCTTCTAATTTGCTAAAAAAAATAAAAACAAAAACAAAAAAATTTCTGGCTGTATATTAGAATCAATTCATGATTTTTACTCTCCAAATTTATATTCACTTAGCTTAGGGCAAAGGTAGGGCATGAGCATTTTCGAAGTTCCCTCAGTAATTCTAGTGTTGGAGAACCACTGGGCACAGATGAATGGACAGTTCAAACATCAGGAACAAGGACATTGAAGCGGCAGACGAGAGTCTGTTGTTAAATCTGCTTCGATTCATGCCCTCTCTGGGTGCCATCTTTTTTCTCATTGCAGGTAGAATTGCCTCCGTTAACAGGCCTTCTGCGAAAAGGGTACCCAGGTTGTACCCCTAATTATAAGTGTTGAAATAATTGTATTTCACCTAAAAGGTTAAGGTGTACCTATTTATCAAATGCATCCAGCTGCAGGTGCCCCTCACCAGTTTCTTGCCTTTCAGCAGGTTCTAGTAAGGTTGGATTTTATCCGAACTAGATTATCCTGTGTTAGGAAATGAAATTAGAATTTTAAAGGTGGTTTAACGGTTCTTTAAAGACTGCTGCTCCCTCCACAGCAGTGGCTGTCTTTCGACTGGTTAACCAGAGTAATCGGGAGGAGCAGGGGGTGGAGTCAGGAAATCAACCGTGATCACCATTGTCACTCAACCTACACAAGGGGCAAAACTGTTACCATCTTCAGATATGAAACAAAAACAGACTGAAAACCCCCCACAAAAGCAATCCCCAAACCCCAAACCCAAATATATGAAGCACAGTAGTTCAAGAACACTAATCGTTGCTATATGATGAAATAGTCTCCTTGTCAGGCCTTTCTTGTTTGGTCTTTCTTCCTTTGAAGACTGGAACAGCCCCGGGGCTGACAGCAGTGCCACGCTGCCGGCTTCTTCCCTCCGCAGCCTCTCAAACTGGAAGCGTAACTGTGGTTGGGTCAGCCCAGCTACAAGAGCTCTTGGGAGAGAGCTAGGGACCAGGGAAGGAGTTACTGCCTGGGCTAGTCTGCAACGGGCACCTAATACTTAGATGTTTTTGCTGAATCAGAGTACTTTTTTCCCTCAAGTATGCCTGGGACATGAGATGTTCAAAATATTCATTGAATGGGTACATGGATAAATCATCTGCCCTTAAGTAACTGATTACAGGCACACCTTGGAGCCGCTGCAGCTTTGGTTCCAGACCGCTGCAATGAAGTGAATTTTCAGTGGAGTCATTTATTTGTGGCTTTCTACAAGAACTGAAAAAAGATGAACCTGCCAGGTTTTGTCTACAATTAAAAGCTAATAATCCTGATAAATATAATAAAGGACCGGAGCCTGCACAGTTCTCATGGTGTCGTTCTGACCGCCTGTGGAGAGCCTTTCAGGCAGTGTTAGCTGATTGGTTCTTGATTGTTGAAAGCTTGGCAACAGGTGCTTGTCTTCCAGCAGCCGCAGATGTGTCTTATACAATATTTAAGCAATACTGATATCGTTCCCCTCAAAACCATACCCACTCACATGTGCATGTCTGTCTGTGTGCATGTGTGTGAGCATGTGTGTGTGCCCACACTCCCACATTCTGATCCCATGACAGATCGGGGATGGGACGTGGACATCAGTACTTCTGAAGCTACCTAGGGATTGTAATGTGCAACCAGGACTGAGAACCAGACCTTTCGGCAGTTCTGTTGTATGGGAGAGTCATTCAGCTGTTAAAAACCAATCTGAGTTGTGCCCGTGGAAGGCCCTATGTGCTTTCTCTTATTTTCAAAGTGGTACTGTTTTTTGAGGCGCTTTTGTGGGGCCTAAAATCCCTCCAGAAAGGCAGCCCAGTGACTGACCAGGGCCTGGCCTCCTTATGGTGATGGCCTAATTTACTTTTTTGGGGGTTGACTTTTTTTTTAAAGTTTGAAAAATTCTTTTTTAAACATATGGAAAATAAATAACAGCCTCCTGTGTACCCACTACTAAAGCTAAACAGATGAAATGTTGCCATATTTGCCCGAAGTCCCTTTTTGTTTTACAAGAAAGAACTCCTTGAAGCTTCAGCTGGCACCTCTCCCTCCCGCACCCCTCTGCCCAGCAGGTGCCCATTCTGCCCTGGTCGGTGCACAAACACTGCATACGTATATACCCGCAACAACAAACAATGCACATTGTGTTTAAAATGTCCCAGCTGGTATCATTACTCATGTTGATATGTGGAACTCTAGTTTATCCCTTTTACCAATTTATTTATCCTTTCTCTGCACAGATCTGTTTCCAAAGCACACTTTTCCCAGCTGTGAGATAGTAGGCATGTGTTCGGCTTCAGAGTCAGTTCACCATGGAAAGTGACCTAGACCAGAGAGGATCCTTTTGAGAATTAAATGAGATGATGTGTGTAAAATGCTTAGCACAGGGCTTGGGACACACTCACACACAGAGCTTTATAAACATTTGCTATTATCAGAGTTACCTATGTAGTTGCTGTGAGTATTTTGCCATTAAATAAAATCATGCATGAAATTACTGGCTCAATTACTGTTGGGTCCCCTTTTATCTTTCTTATAATTTCCCAGGTACGTTCATTGCTGTTCTCTGCATTTTGCCATCTGAGGAAGTAGAGGGCTGGCTTGCCCACCAGTAATGATGAATTAACAGAAGCTGGGGAAGGGAGAAAGGGACAGTTAGCTCCCCTGTGGTGCAAGATGGTAAACGCAGGACGAGGGGCAGTACCCATGCTCCTTTTCCAGTTGGGTTTAAATTCTGTTCCTTTACTCCTCCTAAGGGCCTACTGTGTGTTAGGTACTTGCCCTATTCATTTTTAAAAATATATAGTTTTATTGATTTTAGAAAGAGAAGAAGGGAGAGGGAGAGAGATTGAAATATTGGTGAGGGAGAAACATCCATTGGCTGCCTCCTGCACACCCCCTACTGGGGATCAAGCCCACAACCTGTGCATGTGCCCTGTCCAGGAATCAAACCAGTGACCTCTTGGGGAATGAGACAGTGCTCAACCACCTGGGCCATACCAGCTGGGTGGGACGTGCTGTATTCTTTATGCACATTATTAATCCTTATATGCTATTAGGTATTGTTATCCCCCTGTTATAGATGAGGATACTGGGGCTAAGAAGTAATGAGTTTTTCAGTTCTTCTCTGCTTATAATTGAGTAAGCATTCCCTGTTTTTTCTGCTTGAGATCCAAACCTGTGTGCTTCCCACCCTAGCAAATAAACCATGAGTGAAGGGAACTTAAATTAACTGATTTTAATTAAAGTGGCTATAAGAAGTGGAAGTATAAGCAGATCAGAGCCCTTGTATAGATGCATTAGATGTATTATATTAAATGTTTTATGCTGTTGAAATATTTGTCCATATTTAAAGGAGAAAGACCTCCCTGGCCAGTGTGGCTTAGTGGTTGAGCGTCAACCCATGCACAAAGAGGTCGCCAGTTTGATTCCCGGTCAGAGCACATGTCCAGGTTGTGGGCCCAATCCCCAGTGGGGGACATACAGGAGACAGCCAGTCAGTGTTCTCTCTCATCGATATTTCTAGCTCTCTCTTTCTCTCCCTTCCTCTCTCTCTAAAAATCAGTAAAGAAAAAAAAAAATTTTTAATAAATAAATACAGGAGAAAGACCTTAAACAAAGTATTGTTTTAGGCTTATTTCACAGGCTGTTTTCCTGAATATATACCCAGAAAAGTTTTTCAAGAACAGAAGGGATAGCAAAGGAAGGGAAGAAGTCGAGAGAGAATGAAAGATAATTTGTTGGGAGATCTTGACCGGTTTTAGCGTTGAGTTAACCCTGGGTGCTGTAGTCACAGAACACATCTCCTGCAGGGAGATCCAGGGTTTGGGTGCAGGGTGCTACTCAGCCTTGGTGCCCCTCCTTTCACGTGCCCCTCCTTTCGCTTGCCCCTTGGTGGGTGAAACTGTAGAAGTGGTGTAACTCTTTGCCCTTGGGAATCCACAATAGCCCTTGAATTAGAAGGATAATAATACGTGTCTTCATTGCTCTGTTTCTGCCAGGGGACTCCCGTCGTAACATCATCATGTGGCTGGACCACCGAGCAGTCAGTCAGGTGCACAGGATCAATGAGACCAAACACAGCGCCCTGCAGTACGTGGGGGGCGTGATGTCTGTGGAGATGCAGGCCCCAAAGCTTCTGTGGCTGAAGGAGGTGAGTGCATAGAGTTGAGGAGAGGACACTAACACAGTTGACCCTTGAATAGCGAATGGTGCGAACACCCTACGTAAGTGTGTATCTTTCAGGTCTCCCAGAATGTAAATATGAATAGCCTTTTATATATGTGAATACCGATAACATACCCAGCTGATCAGCACATGTATTGTATGTTATATGTATTATACACTGTATTCTTACAATAAAGTAAGCTGGAGAAAAGAATGTTATTAAGAAAATCATAAGGATAGGGGAAAAAGGAGGGGCATTTGTAACAAAAATAAATACATTAAAAAATAATGATAATTAAATTTAAAAATCATAAGGAAGAGAAAATACACTTGTAGTACTCTGTGTACTTATTGAAAAAGTCTGCCTGTACAGTTCAAACCCGTGTTGTTGAGGGTCAGCTGTAATAGCAGAGAATTCCATTCAGGGTGGATTTGTCTGTACCAGGCACCCTGCTAAAGTCTGTTATGTTTGATTTTTCCCAGCAACTCTCTGAGGAAGGTGGATCCCATTTTATTGATTGGGTTGCAGTCAAGTCACTCCTGATTTTATATGTTTAACGCATGTAAGGCCCCGAGATAAGCATTTACCCCAGATGATCTCTTTGAATCCTAACAGCAATCCAATGAAGAAGGGTTTGTTTTATTTTTTTGGTGTGTGTTTTGTAGGGAAGAAAACTACAGCTAATAGTGATTAATCACCTCACCCAAAGTGGCACGATAAGTATGTGGCAGAGCCTGGATTTGAACCTAATAACGGCTGACTACGAAATTGATTCTCTTACTATCCAGTACTCTAGTGAAGGTCGGAGGGGTTAATCACCATTCCAATTAGAAAGTGGCGGAGCTGAGATTTAACTCCAGATCTTCTGACCAGAACCTTCATTCTCTACACATTCTTAGCCCCAAATGTTTAATCTCTGGCCTTGGTGGCATTTTAGGGTATTCCTTCCTCGTCTCACCTGAACTCGAGTGTTCATGTCCTTGAGTGATCTGGTGATTTCTGGTCAAAGCACTTGCAGGTGGTTCCCATTCCCAGCTGTTAGGATCCGTTATGAAGTGTGGAGAGTGCTGATGTCAGCTTAATGGTTCCCATTAGAGATGGATGTGTGAGAGAGTTCAAGTCCTCTCGGAACCTCGGGGACTAGAAGACCACTAGGTGGTCTGATGATGAGAGAATCCATCTAAGGAGTAAGACCTAGCGGAATTTATTTATTGGCTCTGAGGTTTCAGGTGGGCTGAGTCTTCGATTACTCAAAATGTATATGGGGAAGGGGGGAGTTTAAGGGTGCTGAGAAGGGGCCCCTGGATCGCCAGCATGGGGCAGAGGGAGATAAGCAAAAAGGGCATCAATCCTCCAGCAGGCTTGGCTTGTTAATCTGTTTCGTGTATTTAGGTGTTTGGTGGTTTTAATTTTTAGAAAGGCTTTATAGTTGCTATAGTTCAAAACCACAGGGTGTCTTAGGGGTGGTCTCGACTAACATCACATTGTGTGACTTTGGGCAGAGCAATTCTCATCCCAGGCATCGCTTTTTCCATCCATAAACTTTGAAAACCTGATCCAAACATGCTGAGATATGGATCGGAATACAGACTGCTGTTCACTGCCCCACACTCTGCTGTGTGTTATAGGCATTGACTGATGGGCTCTCCAGCCAGGCTGCGGCTGAGAGAGAGGGTCAGTGCCTTTCCCAAACAGATGGTAGAGCCAGAATTCAAACCCTCATCTGCGGGCTCCAGACCCAGCTCATCTGGTCATGTCACACAGTACTGAAACCCCTCTGGAATGGGTGCCACTTACGGCGGGACCAGGAATGAGGTGTCCTTCAAGCCAGCCCAGACACGGTGTGAGGGGACAAATGGGGTGGCTACATCACCCTTCTTGGCCACAGGTAAGGAAGAGTTGTACTGAATTAAGTGAGGAGGATCAGGCAGGTGGTCATTTTGTAGCCAGCTCTGGGCTGTATCTCCAGGAGATCTAAATATACATTCAGTATGAACCTCTCAGGATACTTTAGTGCACTTGAGATCAAAATGCACTAAATAAAACCCATAGAAAATAAAGTTCTAGATTGCGTAGCCCTGACTGTGACCTTCCAAGACCATCCATCCATCTCATTAATTCTACTTAAGTAAGGCTCTAAATAGCGTTTTATTCTGTATTTAGTTACCTGAAGGCTGAGCCTTAAATCCGTTTGAAAACATTTTTAAATTTATATTTATTTTTTGGTACGCATACACAGGAATCCTTGTTGAGAATCCCTTTGGTTTAGCTGTGATTGCAAACTGAAAGCCAGAGCTATTTCTAAAATCAGTTTTAGCATGTCCTTAAAGCCTGAGCAGGCTGGTTTATAGTGCTTCTCAAATTTTAATGTGTAAATGAATCTGTTGGGAATCTTGATAACTGCAGATTCTGATTTAGTAGCCCTGGGGTGGGGAGTGAAATTCTGCAGGTCTAACAAGGTCCCAGGTGTTGCTGACGCTGCTCTCCTACAGAATTCTGAAACCACTTTCAACTCTTCAGGCTCTGCCCTGGCACCCCGAGCAGCATCCATGTGCGGAGAATCAGTCAGCAGTACCTTGTTTTAATGGGGTTACGGGAGACTGAGGCACAGGGGAGTTGGATCGCTTCTATAGAGCTGTGCAACTGCACACTCAGCGTCAGAACACAGGACTGTGTGCTGGGATCCCTGGCCTGTCATTTGTGTACTCTATTCATTCTTTAATTTGCCAAATTTTAACAGGTTCTTCTATAAACCAGTAAGGTGATAGGCATCGAGGACATGGGCACCAAGAGGACTCAGTCTTTCCCTGGAGGGGTACAGAGTCCCCTGGGGACAGTGGTGGGGGAGCATAAGGGGGGAGTGGATGGAAGACAGAGTCATGGGAGCCGAACCCTCAGAAGATGTGCTAAGCACCGTCATACAGGAATATGCAAAGTGCCTTCTGAGAAAATAATTTGCTTCCTGGAGGAGTTGAGATGAGCCTCAAGATATGAGTGGAGGATTTGCCTAATAGAGGAGACAGGAAGGGTATTCTAGAGAGAGAGACTGTGATTCATTTATGGTAAGGTAAGTAGGTCCCAGGACACGGACCTGGATGCTTCCCTGAGTGGAGCAGGAAATGAGGCCGGGGCTCAGTTTGTTAAGAGACGTATTTTGTGGTAGACATTGGTCGATGGTTTTTAGCCAAGGGAGGGAGGGTTTTTGATCCCCTTGGCAGGCCGAGGAGATTGGATTAGGGGTGAGAAACTGTGTGTGTGGGAGTACGAACTCATTTTCTTCCCCAACGATAGCACACCTTGCTGCCTTTGCTTTGCTCTTAGGATGAGTTCCAAAATTCGTAACATGGCCTGGAAGACGGTACGGATGTCATTTTGCCTCCTTCTCTGTGCTTACTGTGTGTCCCTCCCCTTGCTCGCTCTAACCCTTCTGCAGGGATCCCTCAGGCGCCTCCAACACAGCCAGTTCTTCCTTGTCAGAGTCTTGACATGGACGTGGCCCGTGGGCCCAGTCTGGCCTCCTGCCTGTTTCTGGATGTCCTGGGAACTAATCATGGCCTTTACATTTTCACATGGTTGAAAAGAATCAAAAGAAGAACGGTATTTTGTGATTTGTGAAAATGGGATGAACTTAAAATGTTAGTGGCCATAAATAGAGTTGTATTGGAACACAGCCACCCTCATTCATGTCTGTGTTGTCCGCGGCTGCTTTGGCATTCTGGGGACAGAGCCGCGCAGTTGAGACAGAGACTGGATGCCTGTGGATCTGAGGATATTTACTGTCTGGACCATTAGAGAAAAAGTTTGCTGACCCCGGGTCTTGATGATGTGATGCTGTGCCTTCTGCCCCTGAATGTTCCTCCCCGTCTCACCACTGATTCTAACGCATCACTGAGATCTCAGCTTTACTGTCTCCTTAAAAAAGCCTCGACCCTCAAGAAAACCAGAAGTCTCTTGTGTTTGCACTCTTCACTTCACTTCATTGTAGCTTTCATAAACTGTAGTCGTATGTCAGATTGTACGATGGTTTGTATGATGCTTGCCCCCTCCAACCACTGTAATCCCCAGCAGGATGGAGATCTTACCATTTTGTTCTTTGCTGTGTTCCTACCCCTAATCAAATACCTGGCATTAGAGGTACTCAATACATATCTTTAAAAATTTTTTTTTTCTTGATCGATTTTAGAAAGAGAGGAAGGGAGAGGGGGAGAGAGATAGAAACATCGATGAGAGAGAACATTGATTGTCCACCTCCTGCATGCCCCCCCTGGGGATTTGGCCCACAACCTGGGCATGTGCCCTGACCAGGAATCGAACCGGCAGCCTCTTGGTGCATGGGTCAACGCTCAACTACTGAGCCACACTGGCCGGACTCAATACATATCTTTTGAATAGAGGCGCCCAAGGAGGGGCTGTTGCAGTGCTCCAGCTGAGGAGGAATGAGACCTGACAGGCTCTTTGGCATGGGAGGAGAGGGCCTCTAGAAATCTTGAGGGGATAACATCAGCAGGACATTGAGTGAGGGGTGAGCTAGGTGCAGGAGTCAGAGCTGGACACTCACTTCAGCATTGCCGTCATCCTGTGCTCCTTGTCCTTAGCCTGGAGGCAAGTTCCAGAGGGCATTGGGCAGCTTGAGGAGTTCAGGCTTACCAGAAGACACAGGTGATGTTCTCGGGCCGCCATAGCTCGTGGGCAAAGTCACTCGGGGTCCTAGTGCCGCAATATGGAATTTTAATCATGCCCTTTATATTTAAGGTTTGTGTACTTCAGGTTGACGTATGTCTCCCTAATAAGAATTGTCAGATAAAAGGAAAAATGCCATTTGAATTTTTCATAACCCCCAGCAGTCTGACTTTTCCATTTGGTCTCAATGATTCTGACTCTCATCTTAATGAAGGCCAAATGTAAATTAAGTTCTGTCAGGCGGAGCAGCTGGAGTCTCCTAGCTTTATAAACACGAAACATTGAAACATTGTGGGGTAACAAGG